TTGGTAGACAGCCCTCAGAAGAACTTGAATGTAATGAACGCTGACGTGAATCCCTGTCGTGGGGTTTTACTGGTCTACTAAAGCTGCACCATCTAGCCCCACAACGTCAAAACACAAACGACTGTGAACCTCACCTGTAGCAGTAGCTTCAGTACGAAGTGATGGATGTGTCTGTTTTATTTAGAATCTTCAGCAGATGCTTTATTTACAGGTCGACAACGGTTGTTTTTGTTTAGCGACGAACCCATTACCTTCACAATATCCCCTTCATGAAGACAATCATCAAAGCTGACGGCTTGAAGTTTTTGTCGTGAACACACTTCCAGTCGGACATTGCGACAAGTCTTCCTCCACTGCAGAAAAACCTGCATCCCGAACAGTATATCGAAGGCGGCTTGCATTCCAGCTTCTGAAGCAAGCAGACAGGCACAAAGTGGGCATTTATTTTTCTCGGGGAGCCGATCAGACGGACCACCATGTGATGAAGGTTGACGCTTTCGACGATACTCTACATGATCAGAAGCAGGAGGCTGGAATTGACGTTTAGGTCTAGCACCAGATGCATCATCCCGAAGCCATGCAGGTTTTACTGAGAAATCACAGTCATCTTGCAGCCTAGGATTAAGGTAGCCGGTTTCTGGATCAAGTGGATGGATCGGGCCATTCTTGGTTTCTGAACGATAAGGATGGTTTTTGCCTAGTTTTTTCCCACAGTTAAACATCAGGTGGAGAGAACCAATCACCAGACAACCTAGATGACGGCTGATGGTACGTACCGTACTCCGGAATGGTGTCATCCAAAAAGTGGCAAGCTTGGTTGCGGTCAGCGGTTAGGCTTTTTCTAACTCATTTATCTTTACCCCAGGGAAAGGGGTTATCTTCCGAAATGGGGTATGGGGGATACCGACTTTAGTCATAGTCCTCGTGAGATGGTAGCAAGGGCAAACCTTTATGGTCTTTCTTGTATGCACTTCTTGAATCAGGGTCACAAACAGGTAGGAACTCTTAAAAAATATCAAACCCAAGAGGTATATCGGTTGGTTGCTTCAACTGTAACTCCGAATCCCTATATCTATAAAAGGATTGATACGGTGATACATTCTCAGGGTGGTCATAAGGCTTTTCGTGTTGTGCTGTAGCCAGCTGTCTACGAGGTGATGGGTCAAGTGTGGTGCGGAAAATGCATTGTAGGATTGAGCAAACTGGCTAGACGACTCATCGGACGGTTCACGAACAGCCCCGTTCGTATATTGTGGGAACGAACTAGACAGTGTAGAAGTAGTGTTCTGTGAATGCATGGTTTCGGTCTTGTTCTCTAAGCTATCCAGGTGATTAGTCTTTTCGGGAACACACTCGTTTTAGGCTCAGTGCCTGAATGAACCGATTCATATCACTTCATATCGCCACTGGAGAGGGGAGCTTCACTCGTATTCTCTTTCATGCTTGACAAGCCCAATTGCCGTTGTAAACGCAACATTTCTCTCTTTTTTGCTCTGGAACTCACGAAGTTTAAACTGTGGTCCTTTCTTCAGCTGACGCGCTTTAAATTCGGCCAGGGTTGTTCTAGATCCAGCCCTACTGTGGTTACCAACTGGGCTAGTATTAAAGCTACGACATGAATTTGCATCAAAAGGGACTTTCAGTGTATCTGGAGGTACATCCGCTGACATGTTACCTTCTTTGCCAAGAAACGACTATGAGACCAACTTTTTGCTGCATTTGGCAGGCACGGCAACATCGGTATGTTGAATACTGTTACAACTGAAGTCTGAGTGTTCCGGTCTGAACTCCGAAAACGATTCAAAGGAGCCAAACTGAAGCAGTAAATGTCAAATCCTGATCCCTAGCTATTTTTCCACCACTACTATGGTCTCAGCTGTTAATGATTGTTGATGTTTGCATAACGAGGGGGTTATGCCGGACACATTGCCAAGAACCAACCTAAAACAGTTTCCCACCCGTCACCCAGGTATTTCACACATGAAGTCTATAGTCAGAAGTTATGCACACTAGCCAAGTATGGATACTGACACAACTAGATTCATTAACCGTCTCCACTCATACCAGACCGCGTCCGAAAATTCACCGTGAGAGAATCCTGGAGAGTGGTTCTCATTACGACCATGGTCCTGGCTACACATAAATTTCTCTGGATCGGTAAGTGGTGTGTATCACTCTTTTGGATGCCGATTCAAAGTGGCTTGGGTCAGTTCCAATTACCCCACCCTCTAGTGGCCAAGCCATAGCACCCCTCGCAAAAGCTCTCGCATGCCGTGGCATTACGAAATGCATTATATCTGACAGCAGCAGTCTGTTCACTTCGCGGTTATTTCAGGATTACTGGCATAGAAGTGGTATACATCATTTACACTCAGTCCGACGGCCAGGTCAAGATTTGTGAAAACTTTCAAAAAAGCCGTGTTGAAGGCGGGGGAGAGGCTACGCCGGGGATCATACAGCAGTTCCTTTTTGTGTGCCTCACCACATCAATGACAGAACGGAGAAAATGTCCAGCTCAACTTTTAATGGGACGGCTGCCGCGTACCCTCCACCACTACATGTTGCTATCATCAACACGGAAAAACACTGTGAAGTATTTCTACAGGGTAAATCCTGTCCACGCTTGCAATCGCCAACCAGGAAAAGAAAAATAGACAGAAGGTCTGATGGAAGGTCAATATGGGCCATGAACGATGGCTGGGAGACAACAATCAGACACTACATCACCACGACTTGTCTTCAGAACCCAAGATACTCTTGAAACCACTACTTGAAACCTTTAAACCATCTCCAGTCAATGTGTAATCAATCCAAGGGAAGGTGAAGGTCAAAAAAAGAATCTTTATCTAGGCGAAATCCAATCCCAGATCTTGAACGGTACGTTTCGAAATTGACCCCAAGAGATGGAAGTACTAAATCTGATAGTTGGATATGTTCATTTTCTAAGGAAGGGGTAAATTTGCTTAACTTTTGCCAGGTATTTGCCTACAACCTTAAAATAACCTCATCACTGCTGTTTTCGCCCCCCCTGGGGGCCGTTGCTAGCCTTTGCTTTTCTCACCGCTTCTGAAGGTTGAACTCATATTGGTCATTAACCGTTTTTACTAACCGGTGAAATTAGTATTCGTCAAGATCGTTTCGAAAGTATACATCCAGGATCGCTCTCGACTGTTTTGACTGTTCTTCAGACGATAAAAGCTCCGATTTTTCTTATATTCCCATGCCGATGATATTGCTGTTGTAGTGATTGACGTTCTGGCCGGCAATTGGAATAGATTCTTTTGTGCGCTGGGTTCCGATCGTTTGTAGACCGCTAGGTCACATTATTAGTCACGGTAGTGACCTTCATAAGTTCTTATCTGAATCCAGATCAAGTGAGTCACGAAAACCAAGTCAAGCAGAACCTCCTAATTCTTGTATTACCTTTACAAAATCAGTTTTTTTCGTGATGCATTACGACATGTTTTTAGTCATGCATGCATGACTAGTGTTTGTTCAGGGTTATGTGACTTGTGTTTGAAGTTATTGAAGGAAACGAGAGCGTGATCACTACTTGAAATAGGGTTATTGACAGTTATGCTGGAAACCAGTGAGCTCATTGATAAAAAGATAGTCTGATCCGGATGCTCCACCTTCGGGTCTCTAGCGCGTGCAATGAGAGACATGTTTAGTTAAACAGTTTCTGTTTAGTAATTTCGGAAATTATCTGGTAAGTACACATGAACTACTAGTGGCGAAGGCTTGGAGAAAAGTTAAAATCATATAAAATGAGGACTTGAAGCGATTGTGAATCCAGAGCCCTATGGATTGTATCGTGTACATATTAGATGTTTGAATGACCTGTGAATAGCAGACTAGAACCGAAACTACACTCACTCCTCTTAATACTCTTCCCGCAGCTATCAAGTTTGATATCTGCTCAATTCATTAAAAGGATATGTTCCACGGGTTTGCTTTTTACGGAATAGTCTATAAAAGCAGTGTTTTTAGATGTTGACATTCTTTTGTGTCTCTTTTTACGCCAGAAGGCTCTGTATTAAAAATTAGTTTCAGTGCCATGACTGTTCATACTTCAGTCTTTACTAGGTGGTCTTAACATAACAGCTTTTTCATACTAAACTGAGTTTTTATGGAGGCCTCATAGGTTGGATGATGAGTCACACTTTAGGTCTTAGCATATCTTCTACGTACTTTTGACTGTGGAGATGGACATAGACACCAGTCACAAACAAACAGGCTGCACAGTAATAAGTAGTAATTTCCAGAAGGGTGGCCAGGGTCACTGTAATATGGGGTCTTTCGTCAGCGTAACTCACAGCCAGTTCCCCAGGCAGAGCAGGTGACATGCCACGTTACATCACAAATACGTCCTTTTAAACTGTCATACTTGGCATCACCAGAACTCGAAATAGAGTACATAATGTGAGGTTCAAGAGAATAAATAAGCGGACGCTTAAAAACTTCAGTTGAAAATAAAGGACTAGCAATATTACACCCAAAAACCTAAGTGAGTATAGTGTTTACTACAGATAATCAGAGTAGTAATACAATCAAAGAATGCATTTCAGAAATTTGTTCAGATAGATGCTGAAGTGAAATGCAGAAGCCAAATTCACTTTATCGAATCCATAAAAAAAGCTTCTGTTCATTTACGACGACCTTTATGTTCATAACAGACAAGAGATTGTAACCGACTTGAATGTTTTGCCTACTTTGTGATGAATCTCAGACAATTATTTGCTTCTATTAAGGTTTCTATCCAATTTCTCATTATTTTATGCGATTATGTTGCTTCTTTGGGTAGTGTGAGCTTGGTATCTGTTACTTCTCACTCTAAGCAAGGTAACGAAATTGACTTTCTCAGCCTTTATTATGTCAGTATTTTTATGTTACCTCTGCAACCATTGAGACAGTCACTGTCGCAAAAGCCCTGTAGACCTTTTTGAAAAGGAAAGCATCTGTCTAGTCTTCATTTTTGCGAAAATAAACAACAAAAATTTAATTGCATATAATTTATTACTTTTATTCATGAAATTTTACTTTTTTTTTGCAACCTCAGCAAATCCAATACGTCGATTGCCAACATCGAATACGGTGTAAACTTTCCTCAAAAATGCGTCACCAAGTATCCATATTGGGCCACTTGGAAAGTCGATACCAATGAAACTACTTTTGCATATGTGTGAACCATTAGCGATTTTCTGGTAATTATAAAATAATAATCATGGTCAAATCAAGCACAGTTTATGCGTAAATTATTTATCGAAGTGCATTTTAGTGAAACACAGGTAATTTTTGTAACAATTCGGATTAACGCAAAGATTCGCCACATAAGTTCAGCTTATATGAAGAATATATAGTCATTCTTACTTGGGTAGTTTTAAATGACCATTTTCGTTCTCAGGTTTTTAGTCTTCAAAAGCATGCACACCTAATCCTTTTTGCTCTGGACGAAGTGCAAATTAATTCTTAAAAGCATGTCTTTTCATAAGGGAACATCTATTCTTTCAGTAGACGTTATGCAACATATCCTATTTTTAAGTATGTTGACTACTCACTTGAATCATAAATACCTTATAAAACGCTAAATTCAAGCGGCTACTAATCATCTCTTTTTACATGTGCAAATCAATTACGTTTAAGTTGTCATATTAATTCATTTGCATCACGTGAAGACGTAAATTCGATCTGCCAAAAATGGAGTTATTCATAACCCACTCGAAGTAGTAGAAAGGTTAGTTGATTTATGCGACTGACTTTACTAATCAAAGTCACATATATCCATATAAATTTAGGTAACCTTGAAGAGTTAAGGGAATATCATAAGCTGATCCTGTGATAAATAATTATCATGAATACTTTTGTAAAGTCATGAGGTCAGGAAATAATACATATATGTTTATATTTTATGAAATGGTAGTGTAACGGTAAATAATCCCTCCGAATCACAAGTCTAATGGTCGAAAAGACTCAACATTGATGATGACCTTAATAATTTTAAAAACTGCCTAAGTTGAAGGCACACACCCAAGTATCCACGCTATTTGGCATGTTATCGTGTAATATTAGAATGCTCACACTCAATCCGCTAGCTAGTTACTCGGAGGACACTTGTATTTTGACACGGTTCATCAAATATACTATTTCCACCTGGCTACTGTATTGTCTTCTTTCTTCTTCTGATACTCATGGGTGTTCTACAAGCACGAAAATTGACCTCTGTGTCTGTCAAGTTCGAGAAAGGAAAATTCGTAAAGTAAGACAGTTACTAGAATTCGTAAAATGAAATAGTACTAAACGTCAGAAGTCAGTCACCAAGAAGCTTTACATCCAAACTCCTCCTTGTCTAATTCCACGATCAATAAGTATCTGTAGCGTTGAGGAATTCCACTGCTCAGTTCTTATTCAAAAACTATACTATCAAATAAAAGACCACTTTCCAAGAAGTAAAGCCCAACTGTACAACAGCACAAAAGGAAAGAATGTCGAACTTTCTAGACAGACAGTCTAGGCTTTGTTCTGTTAATAAGTATTGTGTCTGACGTATTAGGTAATATCTCCAGTAGTGTTTCCACAAACAGACATGTGACATAACCCAAGTGAAGTGATTTGGTAAATTCACTGGATAAATGAATTGGCTGCTAGAGCTGTTTGATCCTCATAACTCGTTTTGGAGTTGAATCACCTTTTAATTGAAGCTATAATTTAATACATAGTCGTGTTTCTGTTAATTTACTTTCCCTGCATTACTAAACGGCTTTGATTAAAAGCAACTATTTTGCATCATCTATGACAAGTTGCGAATAAAACCGATAACAGAGGGTAGATGCATGAGTGTCGGAATGTGGAAAGCATGGTGTGAATTTGTAGTCTAGGAGTTCAGTAACATATATACCTTTAAAACGATTATTTGCGCAAACATACCATTTTGGGAAAATTCTGAGGAATGTTGGGGAGATTTTGGGGTAATTAGGAAAATTCTGGGGAAACACACTCTGTGGAAAATAGGGATTAATTTTTGTGTTTCCCCAGAGTTTCCCCAAAAATTTCGCATTTGTTTTCCCCAAAATTTCCCCAGAATGGTATGTTTGAGTGAATACAGGAGTACCCAAACTGAAACGTCTTTATGGTAGGATCTTCTAGTCTTTAAATAGATGCATGCAACCATTGAAAAACGCTTGCTTACCTCAACAACATAATCATCTGACTGTAGGATAACGGTCTTATCACTTAAAACTATTTCAATCGGCGGTAATTCGCTGAGTTTCTCACAGTCCAGAAAGTATTCATTACCAGATGTTGGTTTACTTCCAAGATATGTATTGATTTTATCAATCACATCACTTGGACCAAATATCAAAGCTGTCCCTGTATCAATTAGTGCCTTACTCCCAGTAGGACAGAATTCCTCACCACTTATTGATAAACTTGAGTTTATTGCACAGAAACATGAAAAGAAAGTAAATAAGGAAACGAAAAATAAAAGCTGACTGTCTATATTTTAACAGTAAGTTCAGTTCAATATTCAGCATGAGTTATATATAAGCCTGTGATTAGCTTAGAAAGAATCAGGTATCAAAAGCTTAGCATTAATGATAAATAATCAAATTTAATGAGAATGTTGCTCAATCAATTTATAAAATCTAACGATAAATGTTGACACCTTCAGTTGTGGTCTAATTTCTGATTGGATGAATAGTAACCATCACTTTACTCAGGCGAAGCATAATTCTTGAATGGTATCCCTGACAATGACCAACAACTTCCCCTACGTAATGGTAACAACTATCAGTTCGATTTGTTTTAGCTTTTTTTCAGAAATATCAACTGACGTCACAGGTGACGATTCCTAAGTTCTGTGCTGAGTATAAATATGAACATCAAGTCTGTTGCTGATACATGTCACTTGGTGACCTTACACACTTTAAACGCCATATTACATGGAACATTTAAATGAATATAGCTCAATAGATCTTCTTAAACTTAATCTACCCTGAGGCAGATGAAATTTTATTGAAGACGCGTATTTGCATGCAGATAATACAGATAACATGAATCCGTAACGTTTTTGAGTTCAACTGTATATTTTTTCCGTCCTATCGTATTTGTAAACACATTCATTTCCACATCACACACACGACTAGTGAATTTCTTAATATCAGTTCAGCACTTTTCTTTGTACTTTACCTTTCAAAATACCCTTCCCAAGTATTCAAAGCACTTACGTCGTATGATTAACTGACATAAAATAGGGTCTTTAGGGTTCAATGTCGGAAATTAAAGCACTATAAGCAGTTAACTTTGGGCCTAAATTTCATTACTGCTAACACTCATCATGAAGATTTAATTGCAGCCTTGAAAAAAGCCTTACCACAAAACTTGATTCACTTTCATACTCTAACCGCATCCATCAGTAGCTAGTGGAGGAGATCAACCATAGTAACTTTAGTTGCGGAAATGAATCGAACAAGTAAGCGTTTAAGAGACGGTTACGATTTACTAACGATTAATAATATGGCTCCCTGCTGGACACCACTAAGCGAGGGATGAAGATTCTGTGCATTTTACTGACTAAATGCATACACTTAAAAACGAATGTAATGTACCGTATTCCAGTGTTGTCTCAGTTGACAATGGTACCTCATTAACTAACAGACCAAATACAACTCGATGTTGTTAACTTCCTGGTGTATTATTTGTAGCAAATTTGTTTCTGCTTCTAATCAATAACTTGAATTTTAGCAACTTCTGATCCCACTACCATTTAACTGGATCCTAAATAATATTTCCACATATCTTATGACTCAAACGATTAATTTCAGGAGAGGAATTCAAAGCTAGTAGTTTTGAAACAGACTGCTAGTTTGAACTATGCGGTTTGGTGAGCTGAATCAATCCGGTTATATCACTGATGGTCTTCATTTCAAACAAGTGGACATGTTAGGGAGAACGGTGGACTAGTATGAGTGGTCCTTAAATCACCGTGTAAGCTAGTGGTATATTCCATACAGATTTCAGGTTCACGATCTTGACGCTATTCGTGATGTCATAAAGATAATATATGTTCTAAATATTTTATTTTTAAAGGAATCTTCACTGAGTGTCCACCATTAGGTTTCACTACATAGGGTCATTCTCACTACAGACTGTGGAGTTTACAAAAATTGGATTCGATTCTTGGTAGTTCCAATGATAATCAATATATATATCTGTTGAATATATGTCGGTTTTTTTTCTTAAGTCGTGCTTATTTATTTTAAATTTATGCTGTACTACCAATTAAGGCACCTCCTTTATACAACGGAAACTTTTTTCATTTACATGTCATTATTTGGAAATTGTCCCATTCTTATGAACTTTTTGTGAGTTCGTGTCAGTAATGTGACTTAGTTAGCTCAGCGAGTAAGATAGTTGTTTTTAAGCTTTCTGCTAACACGAATGGTACCAGGTTTCTATCCACCACCATTATTATTAGTAGCAGAAGTATTCGTGAACTTTGCTTCCTGAAAAGGGCAAAACGAATAGGGTATTGATAGGGCTGTTGTTGCTTGATAGGTGCAGTTGTGACTAGTTCAACAAATTTCTAGCAGTGCAGTCATACACTTAATTGTCATTCATAAGAAGTGTGAATTGCAACATAGAGTGAATGAGTTTAAAAAGTAATCACTACAGTTAAGAGTCGAATTGCTAGTTTAGAGGTCAAGTGACGCATGGAAAGAGGATATCGTACACTGATTATAGTTTATACATAGGCTGAGTTACCTAGAGAGGTGTAATGTAACGAGAAATTGCTTTCCAGTGCTACATTAGAGGTCCTTACTTCCTGATAACTGGAGCTTCAATAAACCTAAGTATATATCCCCTTTCGGTTTTGTATATTGGTTGGAAAGATGCATACAAATCAATGTTATGACCCGTTTCAATGATATGTTTAGCTGTAGATGGAGTTAGACATCTATTGCCTCGGTCAATGGGATCATTCGATCTGATTTGTTGTTGCAGTCATTTTGGAATATGTATGGTGTTCGTTGCATGCATAGATCGAAAGTTTCTGCCTATGTATCAAGTACGATCAGTGTACGATATCCTCTTCTCATGCGTCACTTGATCTCTAAACTAGCAATTTGACTCTTAACTGTAGTGACCGCTTTTTAAACTCATTCACTCTGTGTTGCAGTTCATATTAATATGGATAACAGTTAAGTATGTGATCACATTGTTCGATATGTATTGCGCTTAAATGTCGCACGCCTTAGTCAAACCACGTGTTCTTATTCTTTTTCAGAAATTTATGAAGGGTTCTAACTGCTTAAAGATACAGTTGTAGTAAGCGTGATTTATAACACTGGTGTATCTAACTAGCAGACACATCAAGGAAAACTATGCTGGCTTTGATGAGGGTGTTTGAATTCCTTTCTTCATTCTAATTTTATATTTTGATGTTGCCTCCTTCAAATTTTGTGTAGATAGCTCTTGCTACTTACTATTATCAAGTAGTATAAATCGTTCTTATTCACAATTTCGCTTTCATGACTTCGGATTCCAGTATACTGGATTTGACACTATTGTGCTTCACAACAAAACTTCGCAGCTCAGAGAACACTAAACAACCAATAGTATTGTACTCCTCTAGTTGTTTATTTAATGCCTTGTCCTCCCTCGAAATGACTGGACAATGGATCTTCTTTGTGCAGCATTACTACCTTACTAATCCGCCTGTTTTCGACATTTTCAACAGTAGTTTGTTTAACTGTTGTGTTGAAGAGCTCCCTTTGAAGTTATTTTGACTACAGAAAGCCCAGAAACACCCGACGATTGGAGGACCGTAGTTGCTGTTTAATAATGTAAGACAAATATTTAAGATCTGATGCGTCACTAGATCGTTCGGTTTGTTTGTTAAAGAATGAAATTTTCACCTGTTTCAAATTATATGAGGGAAAATTCAGACTTATGGTGGACATTATTCACTGATTTATGTTTAGAACACTTTAGCTACTGTTTATCACGGAAATTCACTTTGATCTCTATACAATACGTCAATTCCTTTTCCCCGTACATTCAGTTCATGTCTTTATGTTAAATGAAAGTAATCCTCTTATCCTTGTTGTTTTTCTGAAACTGATTCAAGCCGCCTTCAGATGAAATCGGGGTGATAAAGGGTATAAGAGGAGTATCATTTCTTAAATTGCATCTTTTTGATTTGCCAAACAAGCAGTTAATCTCCACCAACTGGTATTAACGTCAGTCATTCCCAATAACTTGGTTAAAGAATCAACTGGCTTTGTGTTTGTATAAAGCTATTCAACAATCTGACTGTGAAGTTCTTTTAAGTCACCTAATCAAAAGTATTTTGTTTGGCCAATCTTAAACTTTGAAATTAAAGTTGTTTTTTAAAATAATTATTTGAAATGATACTTTTATTTTCAGTTCTATCAAGTGTTACTACTGTGAGAAACGACAAGGACTAAGACGCAGGAAACAATGACATTTTGTACAGTACTGATGAAATATTGTACTTTCTATTAAAATAGTCATTTGCGCAATTTATTTCATTCTCACTTCTTCTCCTTTCTCGATTTGCTTTTCATACGCCCACATTATCTCTTGCGTTTCTCTGGGCAGAGTATTTACTCACCGCTGGTAATTGCCTATGACTTCTGCCGACCTCCCAACATATACTACTTATAAGAAATATAGTTCAGTTCAACATTCTGTTTCCTTGCATCAACAATGTGCTAATCAATATTACTTAATTACTGAGTTTTTAGCACAAGTTATTGTTATTGCTGCTGCTGCTGACTCATACAGGAATGGACAAGTCATTTATAATGAATTGAACCCACACACTTCCTCAGGCAAATACATTTCTAGCCTATTGAATATCCATTCAAACGGGTCAGTAGGTAGTTACTGCAGAGATTTAACGGAATTCCAACCACGGGGGCAAATACCTAGCCCTACTTTAATAGTACACTTTCCCACTCATATGCCAACTGATTTCGTGTGAGGTTCAAAGAACTGAATTGTTGAGCAATCAAAAGAACAGTAGTTGTAATAGTCATTACGAAAGTAAAGAATATTTACGAAGTAATAAGTTTTGAGTTGCTTGGGCTCTTCAACTTTGTAATTTTCACTTATATACAATCTAGACAGCTTTAACATCAGCATTTGAATTTTGCTTCTTGGTGGCTATATATATATATATATATATATATATATATATATATATATATATATATATATATATATATATATAAACCTGTTTCTAATTGTGTTCAACAATTCCGACTGGTTTTAAATTCATCCATAGACCAAGTTTTCAGTACACATAGCTCACATCCCTAGATAAAGGTCATGAGAATAAAGTACAAGCAAACTGCTTTCAGTATCGAATAAATTACTTACCCATCCATGTGAACCATCCATTGTTCTGGATCTACCACATCTAAATATATTATATCACCAGTATAACACTCCTGATCTATTCCACCGAACGTTAACTCTCCACCAGTTGTACCATCTTCATTTCTGATTAAAAGAATTGAAGAGAGAAAGTAATTTTACGAAAAGCAGTTGGTATTGGAGATAAGTATTTAAATTTGAAAACGTATTATTTCATCAGACACTGATCTGCCCGAAAGTACAACTGGTTTTGAAATTGTGCATCTGAACCTGTACTTAATATACTAGTGAGAAACTTGTTTAGTTCCCAAAGACCTACATTGATTGATGGTGCTCACTAACTAGATGAAATTGTTCTAAACACCGGATGGGCGTTTCTCCAGTTTAGGGCCTAGCTCATCAGACGTGTACCCAGACTGATTCAACTCAAAGACTTATTCAAGCCAGGGTCTCTTCAAGTAGCTAGCCGATATTTAATTGTTTCGAACAGTTTGACTTCGTTAGCAGAATTAATCCGGCTACAGAGCCTTTGAGCTAAGACCTAAACTAGCGAAACGATCGTCCGCTGTCTAGACCACCTTCATCTGGTTACCGAGCACTGCCAGTTGGTTTGATTTATCTGGAACTACTCATATCACTCAGTAGTACATTATGTATACCTTCTGTGGTCTTCATAATCACTTGGAATTTCTGATGGTGCAACTGAACTTTAATGATGAAAACCGTTAGCACAACCTTATTGTTTTATTCATTTAACTGAAAATCAGAGTGTTACAAGTAGACCTCTAATATTTACGTCAATAAGTCGCTTGGAAAATTCTAGGTGTTTTCATCATTTTTATGAGTAGATATTATAGAACGTGTCCAGGTTTATAGCTAAGCTATAGCTTTTTAGGGTTCAGAACGTCAAATAGGATAATGAAGCAAAAGTAAATTTGCAAGTATATGTTCTAACCATCAGAGCAGATGGTGGATTAAAGTCTGTCAACGAAATTGAAGGTAAAGTTTGGAGTTAAATAAGAATATGCTTTAAATTTATGCTTGTCTGTTTGAATAAACTATTCCAGAAGAAATATTGGCTGAAGCAATGAACACTCCTTTTAACGTCGATAATTGTACTAATGAACTTTAATTCATATAGAAGGTATATTAATTACATATATCTACTATTTTACACCTTTGAGAACATAAAAACAACTACCCTAGCTCTAACGTACTTGTGTATGAAATGTTATCGAGCAGTAAAAAAGACTGGTACATTGAGATTAAGTAGTCTAGTTTGTACTCATATAGTACCCTCCTACAAGACTACCGAAACTTATTGAGCTCATGATCAGTTTTCGAGCTCCCGGTAGATTTTGTGAATATAATCTAACTTTTGGTACTATACACATGAATACGTTTGTATCTTCAGTCGCCACTTTTGTATATCTTTACAGTGACTTGATATAACCTAAGTTATATATATTTGCGGACGCTTGGACAATAACCTTAAAATTCCACCCCTTGCTAGTCGCTCATTTTCTCCGTAAGTAGAAAAAGGAGGTGATAGAACGGTAGGTACATTTAAAATGTCAACGGTAATGTGAAAAATATATACAAAAAACAAGTTATATACATATTGTCGTCGCTTTGGCTATTTCTGGACCTACGCAATTGATTTGTTATCTACTCAACCAACCTGATACTTATATGTTGGTCCACGTGTTTTCTCCCCGAATTTCAAAGCAAAGCGATTGGTCGGAAAAGGCTTTAACGGTTTCCGACTACTTATGAGGACTTCAGTAGTCTTATTCCACACTATAACACCTTCCTTTTAAAATAGAGACTGACAGAACAATGTGGTCTTCTAGTTGACTAGTAACGTTTCCCTGGGTCGTGACGCCTATTCTTATATACTTTTTGTTGTACCTGTGGTGTGGCGTAGTTCAAAGTGACTGAATCGCAGTCTGAAATGAGGGGAATGATTTGCTGGCACTTCGAAGAATGGTATTTGATGAGCCCTCCCTCCCCCCCCCCCCACCTTTGGAAAAGTAGACTGATAAGTATTTGCAGAAACATTTCCAACAGCTTTAAATGTAGAATTCTAGTATAATACGGCACTGAATTTGCAAAAATGCTTCAATCTGATCCTAACCAGTTATGTGGATTTAAGCGTTGGCATGAAACTTTTAACAGTGAAATGGTCAAATAAACTTGCTAACCTCAAAAACCTCGAAAAATTTACTGAAACTTTTCTGAGCAGGCAATGTTGCCATACTGTTTTGGTTTTGTTTGCCAACAAACCTCAATTTTTTAGATGACAGCCTTAGATCTTATGCCCATTTTGAGCTAGATTAAACTAGGTGTAGTGGGTCGGAATGATAAGGTACTCTGTTATGCGATGAATCACCATACTCAACACCACGGTACACTGCTTTGATTACTTTCTTCTATCCGCCAGGTGCACTGTTAGCGACCTGTTAATTTGGGTGGATTCGGAGATTTTCAGCTGCCTGTTGGTTAATGGATGGGATGTCTAAAGTGGACCTGGCTTGCAGATAGTCTTGTTGTCCGTTTTCTTGTATAGACACAAATTGTATTTGATATAATAAATAACTATCATACAAAGCAGCTATCTCGTTTTATGTATGTCCTCAGGCTTCGAATCCTCTGTGGTATCTGTGTAATTGTTGACGTTAATGATTGAGCTTGCACTGGTACTCCTTGATAGCTTCTCTTGGACGTATATTGTGAGTTACAGTTGTAGAAAGGCTAGATGGCACTAAACATGTTACATCATTTTGCAGACTCTCGACAAGTTTCATCAACATGATCTGACTGGGTGTCTGCATCATTCACTATTACGTGGTGAGTAGTGGAGGCCTCAATATCTTTCTCATTCATCGTTGTAACATGATTCATATTGTTAGGCTTCTTGAACTCGTTTTCAGCTTCACTATTTACGGAAAGTCTTTTTCGAAATCTGAGGACTTATGGATGTAGATTATGCCTGGATGTCATCCAGCATTTACTTGAATTTACCAATAATCCTCAGTGATGCGGCTTTCATTCTTTCATCATAGGGTTGCGAAAAAGCATAAGACTTGAAGTTTTTTAAGCAAATTTTAGTCAGAATACGGAGAATAACTGAAATTTGACAACTAGACTTCTTAATAAATAAAACTTATTCACTCACTTAACACAGTCCTACTTTCTTATTTTCATTATAGCCTTGACGAAATCAAATTAATTTCACGATGCTGGAGGGACAGATAATATGACATGGGGGATATACTTCACTCATTTTGCTATCGACTATCATTTACACCAAAACGCCTATTCAACAGGAAAAACCAAACTAGATATACTTATATTCTATATCTAGTACACAGGGTATAGTTATGGTAAAAATGAAATGGTACTTGAAGTCGTAAAGAAAAGAAGAGATAATTCAGCGAAGAAAATTTTCCTTTTCGATGATATCATTTTCTAGAGCCGTACAGTCGTATTTATATATTTCATAAACATATAACAGCCTATTATAAAACAATAGGGTATAATTGCATCATTAACTCAGTGCTAAAAAAGCCGAGATGAAGAATGTAAAGTAGTTGCGTAATTATCTAAGACAGTGGAAATGTCGAGGAAGGCAAGGAGTTTGACAAGGTGGAAATTGTTCGTAGATAAGAAATGCGAATATTGAGTATTCACTTGATAGATAGGTGTAAAGAAGGTGAAGAACGAGACAAGGGTCATAATGCAGTTGATAATAATAAGCTAACTAATTATGATGAAGTCCAAAAAGGTGAAAGTGATAAGAACATGGTAAGAGATTAAACATACTTCCTTTGCACGCAGAGATCAGGCTTGAATTGATGTATTGCCAGTGCCTGCGCTGTGCACAACTGTCGAAGGCGTACTCCTTTTGAACTATTCCATTTGACACGATAAATGAAACCGAAGGGAGATTCTGGTCGAGCTTTATATCCGGAGTTGACCAAATGTTCAAGAATTGAACTGATAATTAATTTACATTCTCCCCTCTACAACCATGCAGGATAATGCTCTGAGATACGTTTGGAAAGCGTGCGCTTTGTGCTGCCTACATAACTAGCTCCACAGGAGCAAGTAAATTTGTAAACACAAATCGAGGTGGTCCAAAGTGGCAACTTGTCCTTAATGCACTCAGGAATTAGTTGCTGATTAGGGAAGCTGATCTGCAGTCTTGCAGAGAAGAATGTCTTCTTCAGTGATCTGGACAACCAATTCTTCAGGATCTGTGCTGCCGTATCGCCATTGAAAACAACGTTCATAAACAAAGTTTTATTAGGGAACTATGAGTACTCGCTTCGTATTCTGATTTACTTTCAAGTTCTAATCAATAAATCTAGACGGATATCCATTTTGCAAGAGGATCTTCCGTAGTTTATCTATTTTCCGTCGATAGTATCACTGGTGCAGATTCTTCTGATTCTTGAAGATAAAGAATGAATTAGATTCCTATTTCTGCTAAGAGGCACCCAGCTATGGAAATTCAAATATTATCCATTCCATGTAGACTTCCTAGAAATTGAAGTTATTGGTGATGTTTTTGAACCTCTGTTGACACAGTGTGGCATTGACGCATTCGCTTAGTGGTTCTTTAAGTGCGAAACATTTGTCTCAAATCCTACTGACAAGCAGTCACATACATATTATTATGAAAGTCATTTAAGTGCATAGGTCAAGATCTTTTTAAACAGGCTACACTTACCGACTAAGCTGGATGGCAAATACAGGCTCCTCTACCAATTTCTGTTCAATCATATTGATGAATACGGGTGTTGAACCAGAATTTTTTGACATTGCTTTGAATGACATACCCATAATTCCATCGAAATGGAATTGTACAAAAACTGAATCCGGTTGATCAGTAACTTCACCGAATGTTTGGTCCATAACTGTTAGTGAGCCAATCTAGATGAATACAAATGATTGTATACTTTCTTACATGAATGATATCAGAACTCAAAAATCCTGATGCTGATCCTCTACCATAGTGTACAGAAAACTCCTCTCCATTTGGCTTGTAAGTTGAAGATTGTGAACTGTCATACTTGTGGTGAATTTGACAAGATAAATCAAGAGGATTGCATTTTTCTGATGGAACCCAGAGATCTGATGATCCTGTGTCGAATATCACATGAAATGTTTGAGGTGGGGTCCCAATAGCAATCTCTCCATAATATTCAATCTATGATTATAATGAACTCATTGTTAGGAAGAGTAAAATTTGAAAACCATATGTTTCAATCAAGAGACTAGTCAGTTATGTAACACTTACATTTTGGTAATTCTCCAAATATTCAATAGCTGTTCTATCTGAAGATGCCAATCTTTTTAACCATTTATTTCTTGAACTTTTGATTGACTTGTCCCATTGTTGAGTAAATGAATCATGACGTGACAGATTCTGTCGAGATGGATGTAAACGAATTCTATGTTTAGACATATGCATAATTTTCAGTTGAAATAAAGTACCTACCTTGCGACTGGTTCACTGTCAGTTAAGAAGGGTAGAAATAAAACCAAGAGGTTTAACAGAATCATTGGTCTGTGATCACTTATGCCTAAAAACTTGATAACACCAATATTTATGTATATGTATCTATGTATATTTACCTAAAGTTTCAAAAAAAACACCAGTGAATCCTAACTGGTGAGTTGAAAATACATAAGATCATTTAGTTGTTCGAAAGGGTTCATAGTTCATTTTAATTGATCAATTGTTAGTGGTTTACTTATTACATGATAATGATATCAGGAGGAAGCTTATGACACATACACGCACATACGCATATAATTTCACGTCTTTTATATATGAAATAAGTAACAAGTCGGAGTAAATTACTCACAGAATTAAAAACGTAGATATAATATGTGAAAATCCAATCGCCTAAAATGTCAACTTTTTGGTTTAAGAATGAGGCACAAAAGTGAATTATTGTCTTCATACTCAGGGTTAATTACTTCATATTTTGACTCAGTTTTAATCAGCTTAGAACTTCAGCTGTGCTTTAAAGCCTATAAGTTACCTTAAGATGCTATGTTATAGTATTTCAAACTATGACTATGGGTTACAGATTTATTGTAGACACATATACATAGTCACATAGAGTTGATGAGTTGTTAGCAGGACGAAACGGACCTTCGTAAATCCAATGCCAATCACAATCGGCTAATTCTGATTAATAACATTATTCGACCATTCAATTTACATTGGAATTTAGCCCGTAGAATTTTTATTCATGAATTGAATCAATTACGAATATGTTCATTGTTCAATGACTTTTTGAGGTGCAAAAGGGTTACCTGCTAAAAACGGTATCCACGAAATCTGAAGATTATTGAATTGCAAGAAAGTAGAGAGTTATAGGAAGAGTCTTTGAGTTTTCGAATTTTCAGTAAATATATTTGTTTTTCCGACTATTTTTTTCAATTTTGCACAGTATAAGAAAGTATCTGTTCATAGCCATCATTGGTGTTGCTGCTTCACTCAGTATAGGCAGCAAACGGACGAAAGAACGAAATCCACTCAACAACCATCGGGACATCCGTGCATTAAGCAATGAAACATACTTATTGTGTAAGAGCTAGTGATGCTGCCCACCTGCCCAAACCTCGATAGACGATAAGGGGCTCGAACCCACGACCCATTGTTTGAAAGTCATTTCTTTCAACCAATGAGATACAACTCTACTGCGGATGTAGAAGCAGTTCAAGAATTTCTGTCATCGACATAGGGAATTAGGGTTCACTAACTGGTTTGAAGTCTGGTTTTCCCTTCTCATGACTTTCTTTGTTTATGACTGGATTCTGTCCACTTCATAATTGTGGATCCCTAATGTATATCATTTGGCTGGGTCACAGATTTTAGCTAAAGAAATAGTTTTCAAGCAATTGCGAGTTATTTTCTTGATATTAAAGTTGCCTTTTCTATTCCACGGCTTTGAGCTGTCCAACATTTTCAATATGAATATTATGTTGTGCAGGAATTCTTATTTTAACTTATACTATTTTGAAAGTACTCCAGCAGTATTTAGTGTATCTTATCCTGTCTCTTCAATACGTTCTGGGAGAATGTAGAAAACACTTATTGGTCGTCATTTCTATCAATCAATACCTCTACTGTTTCTCTTTTGTATCTAAATACGATGAGACAGTATTTTGAGTTGCTAGTTCAGAAGTCAATGTGAAAATAATAGAGTGACTTGTGGCTACTGCTCGGAATTCGTCAGAATATAAGTTTGTTCTCATATTGCTAGTTCATTTTAACTATCAGAGCCATAAAATAATTCTCCAGACAATAATAGTTGTACACTAATCTATAAGTTCCACTTTAAATTAGTTGTACATTTCTATTTATCGCCATTATATGTGAGGAAAAATTAACGAAATCAGTTAACAGTTTCAAACTTCCACTGCCTCTTAAATTTTTATTTAAAGGTCCTTTAAATTCAACCCTTAGTTCATCAGACAGTTTTCCCTAAAGAAGCTAGGACCAGACTTCCGTGCGAAATGTTGGAATTATTTGATTTCAAACACTCTGTGCCTTACATAAATACAATCTATATGAACTATTTAAATCAAGGCTTCAGCTGCAGTTGGTGGTGCGATAAACTGATGCTGACTAAAGTGGGTTGTGACCCATTTAAAACTGCGTAGGATTGTCTCAGTTATCTAACTTTTAGCCAACTTATCCGCATTTGCTGCCTAGAATACACTCTCATAAATCTTTTAGCGTGACCTACGTATTCAAGAGCCAGATAACACTATAGTATAGTTCGAGTGCTCATGGTTGAGAAATCGGTTCAATTAATGAAAGGACTGGTATTTTAACTGCAACGCACCAAATACCTCCATGTCTACAACCAATAAACTACCATTTAAAATGGCTAAATACTACCTCAGTAGTCTCATATGGTGTGAGCGAGTCCCTTTTAGTCGTTTCGTTGTAATGTGTAGGTATCCGTTCGTTGATGTCTTCCATTCTGCGTCTTCTTTACATGTGTTTCATAGTTTTAAATGTATCCACTATTGCCATTGTGTTTTTCTCACCACAGACCAATCGAAACCCGAATTATCGGATACAAGTAGGATCCCGGTGATACAACTTAGACTGATGGGGTATTTATATGAGATCCATCAGGTTCCATATTGACGGACGTCTTCTAGATAAGATGCAAATTAAAAATGCAAACGGTGAAACGAGATTTCGCATCAGGTTAATTAACGATACTTTTTTGTTTGCAATGACTTACTCCATGAACCTCTTTTGTTAGAACGTCTCAATAATATACATAACAACACTGAACTACTATAGAATAGAAAATAATAAAAAGTTCACTTTTCTGGATATAGCAACACAACGTAGGACAGATTTTATGTTACAAACGTTCATTTATCGAAAGAGCATGTGAAGTGGTACCTACCTGAATTTTAATAGCTTTTATCCCGAACGGGCTTTAATTCAGACCCTATCTCACAGAGTTAAAATGATATACTCCAATGACAAAATGGAAAAAGAGTTGAGAATGGTTGAAAGTTACCTATAAAATAATGGATATTCATAAACATTTATCAATAGATATGGAAAAGCAGAAAATAATATATCGAAAAAGATGACAGTTATCATAAAGCCTGTATTTATTCTCCTCAATATTAAAGATGATGATATCACAAGAAATATTAAAAGACGACTAAAGACAACACTGGCAATGAAGATTTCTGCAGCCTGGTTAATTCCTGTGTACCAAACGATGTGCTCTGTATTTAAATCAAAAGGTATGCTTCCTATGTTACCGCTAACTGTGCATATCAATTTATGTGCAGCCACTGAAGTAGCTACTTCGGAAGAAAAGAAAGAATAGTGTGTTTCAGATTGTTTTGAACACATGCCGAAGAGTCTACATGTGAAGGAAAGTAACACTTTGAAAATAAGTATATAACTTCGGCACTGTGGTAGAATTTAATTCCATATTAGATTGATTTATTTGATTTATAACACACAGTGATACAGCATTATTTACCGAATGACATTTTGAGCACTAATTATCGCTCATAATAACATCAATGGAATCACACTAGCTTTTACATCTCATTTCTATAGTCCTGTCACCTCATATTCTTTGTTTGTATTGGTAGTAAATCTTTCCATATCTCTGGCATAGGTAATGCATCATTTCTGTTGCATGTGTTGCGTGTTGATTCGATGAACAAAGACTCAGTAATCAACCTCTCTCTCCATCGAATTATATTGGACCTGAGTAGAGTGGTTTTATCCCACCCATTCTATTGTGTGATTGTGTGTTAATGCATGCATTACAATAGCCGAGATTTTTCTCGATTTTTGGTTCTGTCATTGTATATTTAGCTAAATTCTTGTGTTCGGCTATTCTAACTGACCCTGACCGGTTAGTTTGACCTATGTACTTGACCTCACAGTCATAAAATGGAATTTGATGGATTATATTATTTTGCTTAGTTGGTTCTATCGGATCTTTAAGCCAGCGGACAAAACTTACTTATCATATATAAATCTTACAATGTCAAGTTCCTTTATATTCTGATCGCTAATCCTGGTGTTCTTTTTCATTCGAGAGACTTCCATCGAGTCGTGTACGTAATTGTGACAATTATTACCATCTATTTACCTTCCGTGGATTTTGCGTTATAATTTACGAATACGCTATGAACATCTCTGTTTTAATCACTGACCGATTCATTTAGTGAGTGGTCACTGTCGAACTCTTCAGTCAGCTGGCCATTCTGTGGAGGTTACTTTTTAAATTGACCTCATCATTGTTTTATGAATCTTCCTCGTCAATTGTACTTCGAGAAAAGGGACTATAGATCAGATTTATGTTAGCTGCTTGCAGCAATCGCTAGGAAGCCCTTGACCTAGGTTTCGAGCTTGTTGGCACTTGTCAGCAAGGCGCACCTGCAACCTAGACAGAACTGATGTCTCACTTGAGACTCCAACCCGTGTCACCCAGTGTTGTAGTCAGCGTGCTTACCACTGAGCCATCCGGTACGAGATTCGCTTGCTGTAGGACTGGATTACATGTATTGATTGGTCACGGAAGTGCAACCAATTCCATGTTGTCTAGTCCTGAGTGCAAACCGAATCCTATCGATCATATTTACAATGTGGCCACCAAGCTGGGAGGCTCACCATCGCCTCCCGAATAGCTCAGTGGTAAAGTCGCTGACTACAACACGGTGACGTGGTTTCGAATCTCAGGCAGGACATCACTTCCATCGAGGCTGCAGATACGCCTTGCTGACGAGTACTGAAAAGCACAAAACCTAGGTCTAGGGCTTGCTGCCAGTTGCCTTCACCCAACTAACATCTACTAATGTGCACTGCGAGGCTGAGCCTCCTAGCTTGGTGGCTACATTGCAAATATGGTCGGTAGGATTCGGTTTGCACTCAGGATTAAACAACATGAAATTTTTTGCACTTCTGTGACAAAACAATACATATAGGTCTAATTTATACTTCAAGAGTGAACTTGATTTCTGATTGGCAGCTGTTAACTACATTCAGTGAATAATTCAGATCATGTATTTTATCGCGTCTGATAAAAATATCAATTGAGAAAAGAGCTTCCAGCCCTGAAA